TGAGAGCTTGGAGCCAGCCTCTGCCTCTCTCACTGCTCACAGCCAAGCCTACGTGCCTCCCGTTCCCTTTCCACCCAGAGAGCCCCTGGGCCAGGCCTGACTTCCCCAGGGTTCCCAAGAGTCTAGTTGTCATTCTGCTTTGCCTTCATAGGGGACGATACCGGTCACTTGGAAACTGAGACCACAGTGCCACAGACATAGGCCAGTGAATGGCGATCAAGCCCCCTCTGCTGCCACATGCTCTTACTTCCCCAGTGTCTCGGTCCCTGGGCCTGAAATAAATGTGACATGCTTGATTCTTTTGGCTTCACGGTATTTATTGTCCCTTCCCACACCGACATCCACCTCCTGCACTTTATGGTTTTCCTCTTTCGGTGGGGAGGTGTCAGGGAGAGGGTGTCACCACGTTACTTAACCATATGAGTCTGTACTCCTGTGCCTTGGAGCAGTTTTGCTTTTTTTTTTTTTTTTTTTTGCTTAGTCGGCCATTGGAATAAGATGATGTTTGATGGAGGCTGATCACTCTGTTGGTCTCAAACATTTCAAAAATATGGCTGTTGGGCACTGACTGACTGAGCGAGAGCGCTTGGAGTAAGGGATAAGGGTACCAGCAGAGGGACAGAGAGCTTGGGTCAGAAGGGGAGAGATGTCACAGAACCCAAGGCTTTTAGAGGCATTAGAGCCTCTAAGTTATAAACTGACTACAAACGACCCCCACCCTACCCCTGAAAAGAGTCCCTCCAGCACCTGGCCTGGCCATCACCTCAGGTCATTTATCTCACATTTTGACACCATGTCCCTTAGTAAGCTGGTCTTGCTGTGTGTTCCAGTAAAATAGCAGCAGGGGAAGAGCTGAGTCTGGTGACTGCTTCCCAGAACTGGGGAAAGCCTGGGCTTTTCTGGGACTGTTCGGATCATGGCTAAGGGTATGCCAGGGGAGTCCAGCCTCCAGCCCGAGCTCACCAGGCCTCTGAACTTGCTGCATTTGGCTCTGAGCCACACCGAGGAAACTTGGGGTGCAGGAGAGTCCCTCCTTTTAAAAATAATTTGTTACTGAATGTATTGGGGTGATATTGGTTCACAAAACCATACAGGTTTCAAGTGTACAACTCAATGAAACATCATCTGCACACTGCATCCTATGTCCATCACCCAAAGCAAAGTCTCTTTCCATCCACATCTATCGCCTCTCTGCCCACTTCTACCTACCCCCAAGCCCCCCCCCCTTTCCCTCTGGCTTTCATCACACTGTTGTCTGGGTCAACAGACAATGGGAGATATCTATAGATATATAGATATGTAGATATGTAGATATAAATATAGATATATTTGGTTAAACCCTTCACGCTCTTTCATCCAGCCCCTCAACCATCCTCCCCTCTGACAGCTGCCAGTCTGTTCCAGGTATCCATGCCTCTGTTTCTATTTGTTCGCCAGTTTATTTTGTTCATTAGAGTCTGCATGTAAGTGAGATCACATGGTATTTGTCTTTAACAGTCTGGCTTATTTCACTTGGCATAATACTCTCCAGGTCCATTCATGCTGTTGCAAAGGGTAAGAGGTCCTTCATTTTTAGTGCTGCGTACTATTCCATTGTGTAAATGTACTACAGCTTTTTTATCCACTCATCTACCGATGGGCACCTGGGCTGTTTTCAGATCTTGACTATTTTAAATATGGCCAAAATGAACATAAGGGTGCATATATTCTTTCGAATTAGTGTCTCAGGATTCTTAGGATATACGACAAGACCTGTTCGGAAAAAGGCCAGTCGTCGTTAATATAACGAGAATGATTTGTGTGACACCAATGTAACCTGGCAGCCAAAGAGAGTGTACTGGAATGCACATGTGTGAACAATGACGACTTCATTGTACTAGTCAGTGGGGGCAGTAGACGCTGTTGAGTGAGCATGCGTACTGTGTGGTCGTCACATTCAAAATGACCAAGTGAGAAGAGCAATGAATCTGCACCAAATTTTGCATTAAGCTTGAGCATTCTTGCTGGAACTATTTGGATGATTCAGAAGGCCTCAGCTTGGGCAACTGGTCATTGGCACCTTCATCACGACAACGCACCCACTCATACATCACATCTCGTGCAGCATTCTTTGGTGAAACATCAAATTGCCTAGGTGATTCATCGCCCCTACAGCCCAGATTTGGTGCCCTGTGACTTTTGGATTTTCCCCAAACTAAATTCACCTTTGACAGGAAAGAGATTTCAGACCGTTGATGAGATTCAAGAAAATATGATGGGGCCGGTGATGGCGATTGGGAGAACTGTGGGAGGTCCCAAGGGGCCCACCTTGAAGGGGACTGAGGCATCATTGTCCTATGTACAATGTTTCTTGTATCTTGTATCTTCCTCAATAAATGCCTCCATTTCTCATAGTTCATGGCTGGATGCCTTCTGGACGGACCTCGTACTCCCAGAAGTGGGATCGCTGGGTAAAATGTCAGTTTCACTTTTCATTTTCTGAGGAAACTCTATCCTGTTTTCCACAGTGCCTGCACCAATCTGCTCTTTCTCTTCTGCTTTCCACTTTTAGGGGAGCATAATAGTTCAAACCCACCTAAAAATGGACAGAGTAAAACAGCACCCTTCAACCCTATTGCATATGTTTTGCCATAAGTACTTCAGGTCTCTCTCGACTTTGGGATTAAGTACCATGGACATATAAAGCATCCCCATCCCATCCTCACTTATCTCCTCCCTAAAGTAGATCCCTTCCCTGGTGTCTGAATAATCCTAGGCCTCTGTGTGGCTCCAGAGCCATTCCCCTTCCTGCAAGGGTGACCCCACATTGCCTCAGAAATGGTCCCCTGATGTCTTTGGTGAGCACCGAGGATTCTACAACCCTGAATCCCAACCCAGAGGAGAGAAGCAAGAACTCCTCAGCAGCTCTTACAGATAACCTAGGACCCAGCCTTCCATAAACTTGTTCTCTAGAGGCCAGCCTTGCCTCGGTGCAAGAGCTGGGCTCTTCATCTGTTTTTTTCCAAGAGAGGCCAGGAACACTATCCTGGGTCCCAGCCCCGCTCAAGTGATAAGACTGTTCCATTCACACAGGAGGCTGCTCCCTTGCTAGCTGCTGTCACCCCCCATGGGCTCAATGACCAAGTATGGCCGGTGGGGATGGGGAAGAAGGTGGGGCCAGGCAGACCCAAGTGTTCATGGGGTCCAGTCCAATGGGCCTACAGGAGGCTGGCTAGGATCACACAGCACTATCCAAGGTGAACCATTAACCATTAGCTCCATCAAGGCAGCTGACACCAGCAGGGGCTCACTATGCTGAGGTGGGCACAGAGCAAGTGTGGTAGGCCGCCCTCCAAAATGGCTTCTACAGATCCCTGCATCCTGGCACTCATGCCCCTGTGAAATCCCTTCCACTTGAGTGTGGGCCACCAGGTAGCATGTGGCAAAAGCAATGGCATGTCATTTGTGAAGTTAGGCTACACCAAGACTGACTTTCGTCTCACTGGCATCCATTCTCTCTGCTCTTCTTGCATTCCTGCTCTGATAGAGATGCCCATATGGCAAGGAGCTGATGGCGCTCTCTGGCCAACAGCTAGAGAGAACCTGGGGGCCTCAATCCAATAACGCACGAGGAGCAGGATCCTGCCAATAGCCACATGAGTGAGCTTGGAAGTGGATCTTTAACCAGTCAAGCCTTCACATGAAACCACAGCCTTAACTGCAATCCTGTGAGAGATGGGAAGTGGAGGATCCAGTTAAGTCATGTCCAGGTCCCTGTCCCCACACCCCCCTGAAATAATAACTGCATCATTTTCAGCCACCATGTTTTGGGGGTAATTTGTTATGCAGCAGTCAATAGTAAGGGAGACAGCAGGAATCTCTGGAGATTGCGGGGGCAGGAGACAGAGGCCTGACTCCAGCTGGGAAAGCTTCTCAGGGGCCAGGGTGGCATAGGGTGTGCCCAAATCTTAGTCTGACCTGGGGGGTCTGGTCCCAGCTTTGTCACTAATCATCGGCGTCACCCTGGGCTAATCACTTGAAGTCTCTGGTTCAGTTTGCTCTTCTGTAACATTTGACTGATACTCAACTTGCAGGACAATTGGAAAGATATCTATCTATTTGTTTGCAACTCACATGACAGAATGCCTTGATACATAGGAGACCCTCATTAAATGGCAGTCATGAGTTTTACTATAGCTTATCTGGGACCATGCATCCACCTCGCAGGAGTGCACCAGTGATCCAGGAGAGTTCCAGTACTCAAAATAAAGGGGGGGGGGATATACCTTCCTGTCAAGTTGCACAAAGCATCTGTTCTCCAGGAACAGAGGTGTATCACAGGAGATATGTTTCTAAAAACATTGTGTGAGGGAGACAGCCCTGGCTGGATGCAGCTCAGGGGCCACGTCCCTTATGGAGAGGAACACATTTCCCCCTCCCTACTGCCCTCCTTATCTTCCTACCATCCTCTTCTCTCCCCATTTCCTTCCTCTCTCTCAGTTCCCTGCTTCCTGCATCCTATCCCCACATTCCTTTTTGTACATTGGTGCCTTGTGAACAGATGAAAGGGACTATTTCCGAAACATTCTGGTAACAAACAGCTCCTCTATCACAGTGCCTTACAACAACAACAGTTTATAACTTGTTCACACACACACACACACACACACACACACACACACACACCTAGAAGCAAAAATGAAAAAAATCATCATGCTTTCACATGCATGGATACAACCATGAGTGCCTGGTATTTTCACAATCATGAGCGAAATACAAAATCTGGCATAGGAGCACATGAACACACTGAACTCGATTTCGAGACCGATCGATCAGCTTAGATTGCGCAAGCAGGTTTTCACACGACATAAAAAGGCCCCAGGATCCAAGGGCGTGAGGGATGGAGGTACAAGAATATCTGTCCTCAGTCAAGGAATTGCCCCATATAATAAGGACCTGAAAGCTGACAGAAGGACCTGAAGGCCTTTATGTTTTTTTTTTAAAAGATTTTATTTATTTATCTTTAGAGGGGAAGGGACAGAGAGAGGGAGAGAAACATCAATGTACGGTTGCCTTTCATGCATCCCCTGCTGGGAACTGGCCTGCAGGGAACCAGCCTGCAACCCAGGCATGTGCCCTGACTGGGAATCGAACCACGACTGTCTGGTTCGCAGGCCCGTGCTCAATCCACTGAGCTACACCAGCCAGGGCGGCCTTTATGTTTTTTAACTTTAAGCACTTTGAACACTAAACATTTTGCAAATGCATACACAGGCACTACTCTAGAGAAGCCTCCTCCTTTGGGCTTCTAGCTCAAGAGGGAGATGCGCCCCAGGTGTCCAACAGGCAGAGAAACAGAGCTGGCTGGCCTGGGTTGGAGAGGGGCGCTGGAGGGCTGGAGCCCTCTATCCCCAGCAGGAGCTGTAGACAGAAAGGAAGAGGTCAGTGCCGGCTGGCATGCATTTCCCTTCCCGGCTCACCCGTCTTTTTTGGCTTTGCCACCTGGATAACGGCACAGAACTCTTTCTCCCTTGGTTTGCCCACCTCAAGTCTTGCCGCCAGAGGTCCCTCCACCACAGCCACCACAATTCTTTTTGCCAAGCCCCAGGTCTTTGAATATGCTCCTCCCTAGCTCACATATTCCCTGGCTCCTCAACACCCACGGTTGCTGGTCTGGCCTCCTGAGCCTGGCAAGCCAGACCTCTGTGACTGGCAGCCTCTCCAGCCTCACCCCCTTCTGTTCCAGTAAGTTCCTCCAGCGTTGCTGCTTCACTCACACACTATATACCCCATCCACCATTTTGGCCCGGGAGTGCCCAGCCTTCGCTCTCAGCCTCCCCAGGTGTCTATCTGTCCTCAGACCTCCTCCAGTCCTTCCTCCCCAGGCTCATCATTGAGGTTTAGCTGCAAAACACGACCCGTGACGGCACCCAGGATCCACATCTGCACTGGAAGCTCCCCAAGGACACGGAGCAGAAGCCCCTTCCAGACTCGGCACATGTTCACCTATCTAAATAAATGCCCTGCCCAGACCACAGCAGAAGACAAGGGTCTGGGTAGAAAAACTCTGGGCTGAGAGTCAGGAGGCCCGGTTCCTCGGATTGCTATGCTTGCTACACGCCCCAGGGCAAGCGCCTGCCACTCTCGGGGCCCCAGTTTCCTCACTTCTTGACATCGGGGCACTGGACATTTGCTGCTGAGCGCAAAGCTCGACAAACTGGTGATTCACTGGACAGCCATCGACTGCCATCTCAGGCGTGAGACTGAGGAGCTTGGGTGCCTGGGCCCAGGGAGGTTCAACTCACCAACCCTGCCTTTGGCGTTAGTTAGGCCCCGCTTACCACAGCGCCGCCCGCTTTCCCAACTATTCCCACCCAGTGTTCGCCTTTCAAGGACCAAGCTACCTGGTGCAGCTCAAGGCTGGAGCAGGGAGATGGAGCCTGAAGGGGCCTGGGAAGATTCCTTCAGAATCAGCAGTGCCTCGGCCGCCTCCAGCTTCCGCTGCCACTCTGAGGAGGCAGAGACCAAGGGCTGGTCAGAAGCGGTGGGAACCTGAGAAGAGAAGGGTGTGAGAGAATGGGAGTTGGGAACCCACACCTCCCCGCCTTGTGCGACAAGTGCCCCTCAGTCCCCAGTTCCACTGAAGGCTCCACCCAACCCGAGGTGTCCTGCTCTTCCCATTCACTAAGCTTGGGCCCTGTCAGCTCTCTGGACCCAACTATTTTCCCAGGATCCGTGGCTGCAAGAGAGGAGAGTCAAGGGTGGCATAGGGCTGGAGGACCAGGGTTAAGCGTCTTAGAAACAAGGAAAGGAGAGGCGGGGGGGGGGGAGGTTAAACCCTCTGTAAGACACACACTACCAGTAGACAGAGAGAGGCAGGATTTTGCAATATCTGAGTGTGGGAGTCCGAAGGCCTGCTGACCATTCCTCCTTGTCGCTTGGGCAAGTCCTTTCCCCTGCCTGGCCTGTTTCCGTTTCCATCTCTTTTCTCCACACCTTTCCTGAGACATGAATCCCTGCCAGCGTTTTCAGAATTCCCAGGGCCACGGGGAAGATTATGGGAAATCACAGGTGTCTGGGTTTTAATCTGCAAAGCACCTGGAGAGATGGGGTTACTGTCCCTGTGTAGAGACTGGTTCTTGCCCCCACAGTCTCCAAACCTCACGGGGCCTCAAGGAACAGCGTGGCTCATCTCCACAAAGCTTTCTCTAATGGCCTCGGGACTCTTTCGCCTGAGCCCCGGTGGCCCTCACCCTCATGGTCCCCCTTTACAGCGGGACCTTCTATCCGTATGAAACATCAATCTGTTTCATACGGAATAAAAGCCTCCATTTGTTAAAGGCCAGCTATGTGGCAGGTGTTATACTAGTCCTCTCGTCAATGCTGTGGGTGCAGAATCTTGTCCCCTCTCAGTACACTGACTCACAAATGGAGACTCTGGGACATAAACACGGTTGTCCGAAGTCTCCCACAAGTGGGAAGTGGCAAAGCTGGAAGAGCCCTGTCCTTGCCTGTTAGTCCGAGATGCCGCCTTCTCCCCCTTCCTCCCCTTCCTCCTCCTCCTCTTCTTCCACCACCACCACCACCATTACCAGCACGACCACGACCATGACCACCACCTTCACTTCCTCTCTCCCTATCTCCCATGGCATCAAGCACAAGGATGGCCACCCAATAACACACAATACACAACCGGCTGCATGCTTCTTCTCAGTCTACTCACGTGCTGATCAGGACATGGGTCCTGTGGGAACTCCTGGAAGGAGAAATTGTTGGTTGCGTCTTCAAGGGAGCTGGAGTCCAGGACAGAGACAAACAATTTGGGGAATACTCCGTCAGCAGAGCCCCTTGGGAGACTGGCTGCAGGAGGAGAGAGCACAGGTTAGACTGGGGTAGGAGACAAGCCATGGAGAGGAGACGTGGGCACGTTTGGGGCTGAGGATAGGAGCCCAGAGTGTCGGAGCTCGGAAGACTTTGAAGACCAGCTGTTCATTTTGCAGCTGGGGAAACCAGGGCCCAGAGAGAGAAGTGGTTTACCCCCAGGGTCACATGGCAAGTTGCAGTAGGGTTAGAGATGGAACACAGAAGTTCAGAAGAGAGGAAAGGGTCTGGGCAGTGGCTGAGTTGGGAGCCTCCCCGACTGGCCCCAGACTCTCCTTACCTCCCTGGGGGTTGCACGGGTGTGGGCCTTAAGCTGGGACATGGCATTCTCTTTCCCTGCTATGGGAAACTGGAAACAGCTTAGGAGGTCCTTTCTGCCTCGTCTCACCTCACGCTACCTCGCTCCCAACCTGAGGTCTCATCTCGCCGTGGACCATTTCCACTCCCCTCCCCCACAATTTCTCCTTCCCACCAACACTCCGTAGATAATACTGACGACATTTTATACCTGGGGAAGCTAAGGCCCAAGGGATAACTTTCCCAAGGCCACATCGGAGTTGGGTGGTAAGACTGGTGACAGAAGTACTCATGTTCCCTATACCCAAACCCAGCCCCCCCCCTTGGTCAGAGACGCTCACTGAGAACTCCTTCTTGAGTGGCCAACTTGTTGACAAAGCTGTGGTCTTTGGGAGGTGCGGCTCCACTCTTTATCAGTCCTCCAGTCAGGCTCCCCTTTCGGTGTGCCCCCTGCTTCCTCTTCAAGGAACTCCTGGCAGGCAAGAGCCTGCGCTGCTTCCTAAAGTGGGAGATTACACGCCTAAACTCAGTCAGGTTTAGAGGAGGCCAGCCCTCCCTTCCCCCCTGTCAGACACAGTACTCACGAAGCGAGGTGGCGTGTCTTCAAGAGGCAGCAGTGCTCATGGTCCTCGACTTGGTTAGTGATGCTGTGGTTGTGGCAGCAGGCAGAGTGAAGACGTGGAGATCTTCTGAGGCCGAGTCGAATCGCCCATGGGACTCTGGTCCGAAGCCTAGTGGTGCGGATGCAGGTGCAGCGGGGCCCGGCAGGCATTTCGTTGGAATCCTTGGTTGTGGGCCCAGAAGCAGGGGTCAGGATGGCCACATGGTCCCTTACCCCCAAACATACTTCCTCTGACCTGGCAAACCCCGCCTGAAGGGCCTGGATTCATTTTCATCCAGCTCACCGCTGAAATCACATTGCACCCTCCCTTCCTGCTCATGTAGCCTCCTTCCCAGGAAGGCTCATGCGTGCATAGCCTTGTTCCGAGGCACTCTGGACTTGGGTCCTGTATACTCTCAACCCGATTATGATTCTCCTTGCCTACTTTGACTCCACATAGATCCCGCTTTCAGGTATACACATGCACTCTCGTGCCGGCTTCAACAATTACTACTTGCCCTTCTCGTGTCCCGCCCTGTACTCTGCTATACTCAACTACTATTATTCCTGGCAGCCACTTCCACAATTGCCTCCCCAATCTTCTGCATCCATTCACTTCCCACTCATGAATCCATGCCTCAGGCGCTCAGGTCTATTTCTAGTCTCATGTATGCCCTACATTCACTCTTTTTTATCGCACTCCATTCTGATCTTTTTCGTGCAGCCCACCATAATCTTAGGTATTTCCTTGCTGCTCCTTTAAGATGGCGGACCTTTGCCCTCCACCAGAGCGCATTATCCTTCAGGATCGCAAGCCCCTCCTTCAGTAATTATTTTCGTTCATCCCCTCGGTTATTCATTGAACAGAAGTTTGCTGAGCCCGGTACGGAATGGCAGGCCCTGATCTAGTCAGCAGCCAACTCCTCACCGCACTAATTGTTCTCTTGCACCAACACACCCCTCGCCGCTTTCATGCAAAACCTGGCGTTCCCGCCGCAGCCTCCCAACACTCTTCCATGCTCCTCTCCACGCTTCCAAAATTATGCTGGAGCACACCTTTGCCCCACCCCCACACACAGACCCAGAGTGCACCACCCCCTCACAGGCAGCCCAATATTTCGCCGCCTGCTGCCGCTTTCACCTCCGAATCAAAGGCAGCCTGGCCCAGGGGCCAAAGGCCAGGCAGGGGTCAGGAGGCTGGGGCAATGGGTCCTCCCACAGGAGTCCTGCAGAGTGTGTGCGTGGGGGTGTGGGGCAGCGTGGACATATCAGGAGTGGGTGGAGGCACCCTGCGGAGGTGGGAGGGTTTGGAGATCCAGAGCAGGCGGGAGGGAGGAAAGAAGTGGCGTAGAGAACCAGGGGCCCTCTTCCCGATACTAGCCTGTGGTCAGCCTCCAGCAGGTCGTGCAATGGACTGGGACGAGAATCTTGAGGGAAGACGCAGGCGCTGTCTTGCTAGCTCGCTCGCTTTCCCGCCCTTGCCACAAAGGCCAATGAGCTTCCAGCGCTGCCTTCCCACAGTTCGCTTTGGTCGGCGACCTATGAGCTTTGAGTTCCCTAAAGCTCACCCACCAAAGTCCCACCCCTTCGCGGCGCTCCTAACTCTCTTCAGCCTGTCTGTACTAGGTTGGCCAGTAACTGCTTGAAGTGAAGTGGAGCTTTGTGCTTCCCCAAGCCTTGTTTCCCAGACCATTCTCTCTTTGGATGTGAAATATTGCATGTGCGTGCATTTTTAACTCGTGCGCTTGATATTCTGTCATTTACTTCTACAGAATTCAGCATGTGTTCTTTCAGATCGATCGGTATTCCTATGCCAGGGATTCCTAGCCGGGGGTGATTTTGCACCCCCGGGGGCACTCGGCGCTGTCTGGAGTCGTTTTGGTCCGTATTTGTGTGTCTCCGTTTCTGAGCATAGGTCCTGTTGCATACCTTTCTGTATTTCCGGTGTCATTGCCACCCTGTCTGAATTTTTATCTCGCGGTAAGACATCTAGATCTCTGGTAGGGCAGGTCCCCACCTCTTAGGCATCATCAGTCTGCAGGCATATCTTCACTATTCTTCGCACTTTGCCCTTCCACATAAACGTTAGGGTCAGCATGCCATGTTCCCTGGAAACTCATTTGTAACAGATTTGGAGTCTATTTTCAATGAATTTATGGCGCGGTTCAGGGGGGAACTGAGTATCTTTTCGATATCCGGCCTTCCCAGTCATCAGCGTGGGCTGTCTCTCCGGTTATGTGGGCCTTCTTTAACCTTTTAATCTTCCAGTATAGTATTTAGTTTTAGCTTTTGCACATTCATACCTTGCACATCTTTTACTGTATTTATCCTAAGAGACTGCTCCGTGCTGTTGCTCTTGCACGTGATACCTGTTTTAAATGACATCTTTCTACTTGTATCTATTTTACAGAAAGCCTTTGGAGTCTTTGAAAAGTGAGTTGATTTTGAAGTGAGCCACCGTGCTCAACTCAGTGATATGTAATGATTTGTCTGTAGGTGTCCCATGGTTTTCTGGGAATCTGTGCGTAACAGAAGTACAATAATTAACCAACCAGTGGGTTTCTTACGGTGCTGGCTAGGACGTGCACTACAAGGTGGAATACAGATGGCTAAAGTGGGCATCTTTGAGTTGTTCCTAGTATTAAATAGACAGCCGCCAACATCTGCATATTGAAATGAGTTTGTTGTGACTAGCTGTCTTCTTTTCCTCCCTTCCTTCCTTCCTCTCTTCCTCCCTCACTTTTTTCCACCCTTCCTTCCTTCCTTCCTTCCTTCCTTCCTTCCTTCCTTCCTTCCTTCCTTCCTTCCTTCCTTCCTTCCTTCCTTCCTTCCTTCCTCTTTTTGTTCCTCTCTTTCTCTTTATCAGATCAAGAAACTTCCCTTACATTCTTAGTGTAATATGAGTAAGTTTGTCCCGAGAACCATGGATACATATTAAATTTCACATTTTTGCCTTGATTGAAATAATCAAGACTCTATTCATTTAATCTGTTAAATACAATGAGCATTATCGGTAGATTCCCCCCCTCAAAATATTTACTGAGGCTCATCTTATAATCAAAGAGAACAAAAATCGTGTGTGTCTTAATGATTTTCAAAAATTATACATACACGTTCAAGTAGCACCTGCAGCAATCAGCAGACTATATTAGGGGTGCACAAACGTCTTCCTTGCCCCCTTCAGTCTATAACTTTTCTAATGTTAAGCCTGCTTCACTCTCCTCGGATGAATGTAACTTGGTGAGGGTACATCTTTTTGTATGTACTGGTGCGTTCATTTTGCTCAATTTCATTTAAGATATTTCAGCTTTTGTTCATGAGTGGGATCGATTTGATGTGTTTCTCATACCGTGTTTGCAGGTTCAGGGACAAAATGTTCTAGTCTCATAGACTGAGTTGGGGAGTATTCTCTCTTTTCTATCCTCTGGACATCTTTGTGTAAGATGGAGATTACCTGTCTTGAGATGTTATTAGAACTTCACTACTAGACAGCTGGGATGCCGGTTTCCTTTCTTTCCCTTTCCTTCCTTCCTTCCTTCCTTCCTTCCTTCCTTCCTTCCTTCCTTCCTTCCTTCCTTCCTTCCTTCCTTCCTTCCTTCCTTTTTTCCTTTTTCCTTTTTTCTTTCTTTCTTCTTTCTTTCTTTCTTTCTTTCTTTCTTTCTTTCTTTCTTTCTTTCTTTCTTTCTTTCTTTCTTTCTTTCTTTCTTTCTTTCTTTCTTTCTTTCTTTCTTTCCTTCTTTCTCTCTCTCTCCCCCTCTTTCTCTCTTTTTGTCTTTTTGTTTCTCTCTTTCTTCTTTCCCTTCCTTCCCACCTTCCTTCCTTGTTTAATTTTACTCTGGATGTTATCAAACATATACAAGTAGATTTTGTATACAAAATTATAAACAGTATCCAGGTTCACTTCAGTAAAGCAGTGTTCCTGGAACACTAGCTTGTATCAGAGTCTCCCAAAGGGCTTGTTAAATGACAGGTTGTTCACTTCCACATCTGTAAGTTTCAGATTAAAAATCTTGGGTGAGAATCAGAGTTTGCTTTTCTGACAGGTTCCCTGGTGATGCAGGTGCTGGTGGTGGGAGAGCACACTTTGAGAACCAGTGTATAACAGGGAATAGTGTTGGAAACCCTAATTATCAATCATCCAAATGTTACCATGAACAACTCATAGCCAATTTCACTTCATATATATTTTGTCACCTCTCACTGTTCCAGATAATTTTTTATCTTTTAATTTTTATTCTATTACTTTTGCCCCATTTCCTCCCCTCCCACCCGTTGCCCTCCTCCACCCTGCCCACCCCGTGCTCCTGCAGTCAATCCTCTCACTCTTCTCCATATCCATGGGTCATTCATACCTGTCCCTTGAGTGGTCCCTTCACCTTTTTCCCACCATTATCTCCCCACCCCCTCCGGTTGCTGTCATTCTGTTCCATGTTTCCCTGCTTTCATTTCTATTTTGCTCATGAGTTTATGTTTGTTCATTAGGTTCCTCTTATAGGTGAGATCAAATTTTGTTTTAAAATCATTTTATGATGGTAAATATTTCAATGTGTAAGTCTAAAATATGAGCTATCCACTCTCCACAACTTTTTTTTATTTAAAAATGCACTGTGTTGGTGGTCTATCATTTTTTGCATGTGTCAGTCCAATTTTCCCAACACCATTTATTGAAGACATTCTTTTTATTCCATCGTTTTCTTTTGCCTTCTCTTTCACACAGTAATTGACCATAAAAGTGTGGTTTTCTAGCCCTGGCTGGTGTAGCTCAGTGGATTGAGTGCGGGCCTGCAAACCAAAAGATTGCGGTTTGATTCCCAGTCAGGGCACATGCCTGGGTTGCAGGCCAGTTCCTAGTAGGGGCAGTTCCCAGCAGGGGGACACACGAGAATCAACCATACATTGATATTTCTCTTCCTCTCTCCTTCCCTTCCCTTCTAAAGATAAATAAATAAAAGGTTTTTTTTTAAGTGTGGTTTTCTTTCTGGGCTCTGGGCTCTGTTCCATTGATCTGTATGTCTGCTTTTGTGCCATTACCAGGCTGTTTTGATTGTAATGCCTTTGGGTACGGTTTGATATTTGGTATTGTGATCCTTCCAACTTTGCTCTTCTTTTTCAAGATTGCTGAGGCCATTCAGGGTCTTTTTTGTTTCCAAACAAATGTTTAGAATTTGTTC